ATAGTAGGAAGGTTGTAGTTTTAAGACTATTTGTTACCCAGCAATAGATTAGCAGAACACACCATCTAATCTACTCCTGTTAGTGTGTTTATTCATTGTCCATCTTCCTGTCAGATTGTCAGCATCAGCGAGCAGGTGTTTGTCTCTCTGCTTAAATGACCCTGACCCAGGCCTAGGACACTACCTGGCACAGAGACACTCACGAATACCTGTCACATGAATAACTGCTGTGACCAGAATTCCTTAAAGCGGGTCTGAGACTGGAAAGGGGGGGTGACTGGTGTTTGTTGTGGGGGTCGTAGTGTCAGCTCAGGCCACCGTATCGAAGACCACGGACTGGGTGGCTTAGGCACCAGAAATGCGTTTCTGCTCCAGTCTCTTCCTCTTCTGAAGAGGACACTCATCCCACCATGGGGGCCGCAACCTTTGCACCTCACTTGACTCTAATTGCCTCCCAGAGGCCCCACCTCCTAATACCATCACATTGGGTGTTAGAGCTTCGACATGAATTTTTGGGGAATACAAACATTCAGTCCATAACAAAATCTTAAGATTGAGGTGCTGGAAAATTTGGTTTCTGGTGAGGGTTCCCCTCCTGGCTTGTGGCTGGCTGCCTTCTCACTATGACGTCATCTGGCCTTTGCTGTGTGGCTGCAGGGAGAGACATCTCTGCTGTCTCTTCCTCTTCTAAACAAACACCAGGCCTATCGGATCGTGGCCCCACCCTTAGGACTTCATTTAACCTTAATTACCTCCTTAAAGGTGCTATTTCCAAGTGCAGTCACATTGGGGGTTAGGGCTTTTTTTTCAAGGGACACAATTCAGTCCAACACCTGACTGACGTGTGTGTGTGTGTGTGTGTGTGTTTGATGTCTACCAGGTGGTCCCGGTGTCCTGAGGCCCTCAACAAGCACAATGCTCAGTGCTGCCACAGCTCGTGGTCCAGCCACGCAAACACGCAGACCAGCAGCCCCTGCCTCTTGGGTCTGGGAAGGAGGCTGCCCAGGTTGTGGGGTGGTTCATGGCTGCTGCAGTGAGGGGGTTCCTGAGGAAACTCTCCCCTGGCTTGGAGGCCCCCAACATGCTGCTCAGTCATCAAGGCAGAAATGAGATTTGGGACTAGGGCTGCAGAGTCCCTGAGGTCAGGGGTTGGGGTAGCAGAGAGCAGGTCCTGAGGGGTCCAGTCTGAATAATCGGATGTCGGGTCACCAGAGGACAGAAACAAGACCACGGTCTGAGGCAGAGAGCTGTGGCGGGGCAGGGCCTGTCCCTGGCAATCTCGGAAATGGGTATCTGGTTGTCTGGGTCCTACCACTGAGGCCCATGTAGCCCACGGCGTGCCCACCCTCTTGTTGCCCAGAGGAGGGTTGTTGGGGCTTCTTGGCCTGGCTCTAGCTGTCATGGGGAGGAAGGAAGCCACTGTGACAGTGGGCTGCTCAGAGTTGCACTGGGGCATGCCTGTGAGGTCCTAGGTGAGGGAGTGGGGACCCTGGAAACCCTGGGAATTCAGGACCAAACTGTTCCCTACAAGTGTGATGAGGACACCTGCCCTTCACTCTCTGTGGCCCAGGACCCAGACACCCTCTCCAAACACAGCCCGCAGGAGTCCCTGGGCAGCCCTTCCTATTCGGCTATCCTCCCTGGTGCCTTCCTGCACCTCTACTGCCCCGATGTCCATGTCACTATTTCAACTACATTCTCACTTTCAAGGAGCCTCCCCGCTTCCTGGACCCACCCACCCAAGGCTCCTCCTCCGAGTCCCAGGGTCTAGGACTCCCTGTGCTGAGTCCCCCAGAGGCAGCAGCAGGATCAAGTGACAGGGACTCGGATACCAAGGTCCCATCCCAGGAGACTAGGCCACTTAATACGTTGGTTGTGGCCTGAAGACCTGCCTTGCTGAGTGGCCTGAGTCCACTGTCACTCAGAAGGGTGGAGACATCTGTGTCAGCTTGGATCTTTGCACACACTGCAGACCCTGAGCCTGCCATGGGAGGGGGCCCCTTCTGTGCAGACCAGGTCCTGCTGCTGGGAGCCCAGGGAGACTTAGGCAGGTCCTGGCTGAGCCTGAGTTGGGGGATCCTGTCTCTGTCCCCTCCCTGTGGCCAAATGGGGCACCGGCGCCAGTTCCGAGGAGCCGCCGGGAGGGTCAGGGCGGAGTCCGTGCAGGCGGGGCCCTGGGCCCAGCGCAGGCGCCTCTGAGCAGCCCCAGATGCAAGGTCAGAGGACAGGACAGGGCAGCAGCCTCATGTGTCCCTGAGTTTCTTTTTCTTTCTTTCTTCTCCCCTCCCTTCCTCCCTCCCTTCCTTCCTTTCTTCCCTCTTGTTTCTTTTCTTTTCTTTCTTTCTTTTTTTTTGAGACAGAGTCTCCCTTTGTTGCCCGGGCTAGAGTGAGTGCCATGGCGTTAGCCTAGCTCACAGCAACCTTGATCTCCTGGGCTCTCAAGCAATCCTCCTGCCTCAGCCTCCTGAGTAGCTGGGACTACAGGCATGCGCCACCATGCCTGGCTAATTTTTTCTATATATATTAGTTGGCCAATTAATTTCTTTCTATTTATAGTAGAGACGGGGTCTCGCTCTTGCTCAGGCTGGTTTTGAACTCCTGACCTCAAGCAATCCGCCTGTCTCGGCCTCCCAGAGTGCTAGGATTACAGGCGTGAGCCACCGGCGCCTGGCCCTATTTATTTTTTATTTTTTTATTTTTTTTGAGACAGAGTCTCACTTTGTTGCCCAGGCTAGAGTGAGTGCCGTGGTGTCAGCCTAGCTCACAGCAACCTCAATCTCCTGGGCTCAGCGATCCTACTGTCTCAGCCTCCCGAGTAGCTGGGACTACAGGCATGCGCCACCATGCCCGGCTAATTTTTTGTATATATATTTTTAGTTGGTCAATTAATTTCTTTCTATTTTTGGTAGAGACGGGGTCTCGCTCAGGCTGGTTTCGAACTCCTGACCTTGAGCAATCCGCCCGCCTCGGCCTCCCAAAGTGCTAGGATTACAGGCGTGAGCCACCGCGCCCGGCCTCTATTTTTATTTTTTACAGTTCTTTACCAGTTTTCAAAAATTTTCAATAGATTTGGGGGGTACAAGTGGTTTTTTTGTTATATGCACAAATTGTATAGAGGCAAAGGCAGGGCCTTTAGTGTACCTGTCACCTGAGTAGTGTACACTAAACCCCACAGGTAGTTACTGATGCCTCACTCTCCTCTTACCCACCCCTCCTAGTCTCCAAAGTCCCTTGCACCACTTCGTGTGACTATGTGTACCCACTGTTCACTCCCACTTTCAAGTGTGCACACACTGTGTTTGTTTTTCCATTCCTGAGGTACCACACTTAGGATTGTGACTTTTAGGTCTTTCCAAGTTGTGCAAAAGACATAGTTTCATTTTTTTATGGCTGAGTAGTACTCCATGGTATTTATACCACATTTTCTTTATCCACTCATCAGCTGATGGGCACTTAGGTTTATTCCATGTCTTTGCAATGTGAATTGTGCTGTGATAAACATACGAGTGCAGGTGTCTTTTTGACATACTGACTTCTTTCCCTTTGAGTAGATCCCCAGTAGTGGGGGTGCTGGACTGAATGGTAGGTCTACTTTTAGTTCTTTGAGGAATCTCCATACTGTTTTCCACAGAGATTGTACTAATTTACATTCCCACTAGCAGTGAATAAGTGTTCCCTTTTCAACACATCCAAGCCAACCACAAATATTTTTAAAGTAACAACCAGGAACTATTCAAGGCAACAGAAATACAGTCATGAACAATGGACATCCCTGTCCTTGTCCTCATAAAGTTTGTATTCCAGAGGAGAAAGAGACTACAAGCCATTAAAAGGAATATATTCTTTTTGTTTTTTGTTTTTTGATAGAGTCTCACTCTGTTGCCTGGGCTAGAGTGCCGTGGCCTCAGCCTAGCTCACAGGAACCTCAAACTTGTGGGCTCAGGTGATCCTCCTGCCTCAGCCTCCCGAATAGCTAGGACTACAGGCATGTGCCACCATGCCCACTCATTTTTTCTATACATATTTTTAGTTGGCCAATTAATTTATTTCTATTTTTAGTAGAGATGCTGTCTCGCTCTTGCTCAGACTGGTTTCGAACTCCTGACCTTGAGCGATCCACCTGCCTTGGCCTCTCAGAGTTCTAGGATTACAGGCCTGAGCCACCATGCCCGGCGGAATATATTCTTAAATGTTAGTAAAAGGGTAGTGAACAAAAGCAGAGCATCCACATGTTCTGGTTAACAGAAAAAAAAAAAAAAAAAAAAAAGCAGAGCAGGTGAGGATGAGAGCGGGGCTGGAGATGCCACATGAGGTGGGCAATCCATCCAGGGAGATCCTCTGGGGGGACATGTGAGGCAGGGAGGGGTCCCTGGAGACGAGTTTCCATGGGTGGCTCTGGGGTGTGAACACCTGTGAACACCTGGGCAAGCTGGAGGAACCACCCTGAGGGCAGCCTGAGTCTGGGCTTGAGAACCAGAGGGATTTTTCATGTAAATAATTTTGAAAAGATCCTTCGAGACATTTCAAAAGGTTCCAGGGTAGATCTTCCTCCCTCCCCAGACCTCAGGGGCACAGGAGGTGAGCACGTCACCAATGTCTCAGGTACCCTTCCTGAAAACAAGTTATGCAAATGTTATGGTTATCACATCAAGAAGGAGAACTGAAAAGAAATAGAGAATTGAAGAAAACGGTACTTTTTAAAAATGTTCCAGGGTTTGCCATGAGGGGTCTGGAGAGAGGGGGTGTGGGGAGGGGGCAGAAACTCAGGCACAGGGCCAGGCCTGGTGACTCACTCCTATAATCCTAGCACCCTGGGAAGCCCAGGCAGGAGGATCACTTGAGGCTAGGAGTTTGAGACCAGCCTGAGCAAAAATGAGACCTGTCTGTACTAAAGATAGAAAAAATTAGCCAGGTGTGGGGGCGTGCACCTGTCATCCATCTACTCAGGAGGCTGAGGCAGGAGGATGGCTTAAACCCAGGAGTTTGAAGTTGCCGTGAACTATGATGAAGCCACTGCACTCTAGCCGGGTGGACAGAAGGTGACTGTGTTTCAAATAAATAAATAAGTACACATATGTTTGCGGAGGGATGGCCCTCACACACAGACGGATGCACACCACCACCAACACGCAGGTGCCGCCACTGGCACGCTCTCACGCTCACGCTCCTGAAGCTTAGTTTTCATTCAACAGGAGGTTGTTCACACTTCTCAGTCAGTGTGTATTATCAGCTTTCACATTTTCTCCAACTTATTGTGAAAACTGCAGATTCCTCAAGTTTGAAGGAATAGCACAATGGTCAGCTCGATGTAACCATTTTAATATTTTGCCATATTTACTTTATGTATGTAATAAATTATATTTCTACAACTTCTGCTGAAACACTTGCAAATTACTTGCCAACATCATGATCTCATTCTTAAACACTTCAGTACTCATCTCTTAAAAAATAACATTTTTCTTCAACAATAATATTATACTAAAGAAAATGACTACAATCCCCCTAATATCACAAAATGTCAAGGTAATATAAAATTGCATTAATTACCCTGCAAACGTGTCCCTTTGGAGGCGAGGAGCCAGGGGCCCTGGGCCGCTCTGAGGTCTCCACCTCCCACCACCCTCCCCGCAGCCCCTGGAGAGAGACACCCTGGAACATTGAAAGGGAGAAACATCTTCTACTCCCATTTCTCCTTTGTTCCCACTGAGACATCTCATCTGTTCGCGTGTCTTTTGCCCCTAGAGAAAGAGTCTCAGGGTTTTCCCTCCTGTGTTTTCCGCTCGCTCCATCGCCGTGGTCTCTGAGGCCAGCTGAGGGTGTCAGGATAGGGCCACCTTCCACTGAGACCCAACCACCGCCATCCTCACCTCCAGACACGCCCAGGTGACAGCCTGGCCCTGCTCCACCCTCCTCTTCAGCCTCACCACCGCCATCCTCACCTCCAGACACGCCCAGGTGACAGCCCACCCTGCTCTGCCCTCCTCTCACAGCCTCACCACCGCCATCCTCACCTCCAGACATGTCCCAGGTGACAGCCTGGCCCTGCTCCACCCTCCTCTCACAGCCTCACCACCGCCATCCTCACCTCCAGACACGCCCAGGTGACAGCCCACCCTGCTCTGCCCTCTTCAGCCTCACCACCGCCATCCCCTTCAATACCACCAGGACTGATCTGTCACGCCCTTTCTCTGTTTGTCTCAGTCACACTTGGTCCCCAATGCCGAGCACGCGCATCCGCACGAGGCTCTGCACACCCCCACTCTGCGCCCCACACTCCCCAACTCCAGAAGTCTTTCCACTGCGCCTGGGAACGCTCAGCCCCTGATCCGCACCGCCATGGTGCTCTCCGGGGTGTCCCGCACCTCGGCTCCCGCGGACACCTGGGTCTCCCTGAGCACACGGCCCCTCCCTCGTCGTCTGCTGCATGGGGGTGACTCCCAGGGACCCTGTACCCTGGGCGGGAGGTGGGGAGGGGTCCTTGCTCCTCGCTGTGGTGCTCAGACCTTTCTGCCTCCCTCCCGCCCAGCTCCCCTAACCTGTCCTCAGATGAGGGCCCCTCCCCTCACTGTCACCAGCCCCTGGGCCCAGGCCCTCCCTCCATCCGGGCCCCTGTAGCTGCTGGCTCACCATGCCCCTCCCCAGCAGCGCTCCTGCTTCATCCTTGCTGATCTCAACTTACACAGTTGTGTAGGCTGATAAGCTCCCCAAAGGCGTCCCCTCTCAGTCCTAGGAACCTGAGAATATGTGCACTACATGGCAAAGGGACATTGCTGATGCAAGGACTTTAAAATAGGGAGATTTTCCTGGACTATCTGGTTGGGGCCAATCAAGTCACACAAGCCATAAAGGCAGAGCGCCTGCTCTGGCCGAGTCACAGAGGCTGCGGCAGAGGAGGGCAGAGGGGGGGCCAGAGGTTCCGAGTGCGGAAGGGCTGCGTGTGTGTAGGGGCCACATACGATGACCCAAGAGAGGGCTCGAGGAGCTCGGGTTAGCTCCCGATGACAGCTACTGAGGAAGTGGGGACCTCAGTCCCACGTCTGCAAGGAATTCGGACAGTGGCCTGAAGGATCCCAGAAGGGGGTCCTTCCCCAGAGCCCAGGAAGGAACTTGGACCTGCCGGCACGGGACCTTAGCCCCGTGGGTCCATGTGGGACGCGCAACCCCGTGACTGAGAGATGACAAGCAGGTGCCATTTAAAGCCGCTGGACTGTGGCAGTTTGTCACGGCAGTTTGTCGCGGCAGTCCCCTGGGGTGGGGGCAGCTCTGAGGGCACCGCTGCTGTTGCTGACCGTGTGCTGCACGCAGATCAGCAAACCCCCCCCCCACCCAGCATGTACCTGCTCCAGCTTGGAGTCCCCGTACCTCACCTCTTCCCACAGTCCTTGGCCCCCGAGAGTCCCAGGCCAGTGACCCTGCTTTCCTCGCCATCCCTCAGCCCTGGTGACCTCTCCTCCCCCTCACCCGTTCTGAACTCTGCGGTAAATAACCCCAAGCCTTCCCTCCTGTCCCCTGCGTTGTCACACTTGCCCGACCACCTGCGCCTGCTGTGCCCGTGAGCTGCAGGAGGCCACGCACACAGCTCACTCGCTGCTCTCTCCCCTAACGGTCCAGACCTCGTGGGGCCCCACCAGGGCCAGCGCTCGTCCTCGCACTGCAAGGGCCACCCTCAGCCTGGTGACTGTCACACACCGTCTCTCTTTGCTCCCACACCCACCCGCCATCCCCACTCTCACTGCAGCTGCTGGTCTTGTTCCTCCTTCGCTGGGAAAGCCCAGCACATTAAAAGACAACCTGCAAGGCCCCGCCGCCGTCGGCTCCTGTGTTTGCAGCTGCACCTCGTGCCAGCTGCTGTCACCTGGATGGCCGTTGAAGGGGACCCATCGTGCTCCCAGCCAGAGCCATTGCCTCTGCTGCTGCCCTGCACCTCCTCGCTTCTCATCGACTCAGGGGAAATTCTTCCTTCCCTTTTTCTCTCTCTTTTGTCATCATCTCCCACCAGGTCGCTGTGGCGTGGCAGGTGCATAGCCGGGCTCAGCTGGAGGAAGTGGAACTGACGAGGCCCAGCTGCTGCAGCAGGAACCCACGGCCACCTTCGCTCAGGTGAAAGGAGTGTGTGTCCCATGATGAGGACAGATGGCAGCCACCAAGGTGCTGCTCAGAGTCTCTGATGGGACAGCAGGGACTGGGGAGCAGGAGGCGGAGGGAGTCTGACCCAATACAGGGTCCTGACGCCATTCTCAATGTCTAGACCTCAGCCAAGGTTCAGCTTCAGAACCCAGTGAAGGAGCAGGTGTCCGTATCCCTGGGAGGAAGGACTCTGGACCCCCATGGCAAGTATGTCCTGAACACTTCCCTCAGCCCTTCTATAGAGGAACCTGCGGCCCTTACTCAGGTGACTGTACCCTGGGGACAGGAACAGGCACGACCGTGAGGAGCACTGCACATGGGTTTGAGTGGACATTGAACCCAGATGCCCCTACAGTGGGGCTTGCAGAGGCTGGGCACGGCACTGACACATGATGAATGTGTCACCACGGGACCATGGGGTGCACGGATCCAGCCCTGTCATTTCTCACTCCCGAGAGCATAACTGGCACTGACACACTGGAGTCACCCACACCGGTCCCTGGTCTGTGCAGCAAGGAGTGTCATTGTGCAGAAGGCCAGAGGGACACCAGTGACACTGCCACCCTCCCAGCCCAAGCAGGAGCTCATGGTGTCGGGGAGGGTGCTCTGGGGGACACTGTGGGTGTGGCGGGGCAGCAGCACCACAGAGCCACAGGGTGCGGGCGGTGTTGGGGTTGTCTGTTAACCCAGGTTAATTCCGTGAGATTTCTCCATGTTCGTGCTGGCTGGGTGTCACTGCGGAGCAGACGGATAAGGCCCCATGGGGCGGCAGCTGTGGATTGCGTGAGTGCATTCTCTTCCACTCCAGCTAGCAAATGGGTGAGGAACGAGTCGCGGTCATGTGGGAGGCACAGCGCATGTATTCACAGTTCACCCCAGGACTACGGTGACTCCCTTGCCCTCGAAGGTACAGTCTTTAGGGACCTGGACGTCCTGCCTGTCCTGCAGAACATTGAATCTGCTCATTTCTTTGGCAGCATCGTGTTGACTGGGAGGGAGGAGGAGGAGGTGGGAAGTTCGCTGGAGGCCTTGACAAACGTGTGCTCGCTGGGAGGTGAGGCTGAGCCCTGCGGAGAGTCAGGAGTGGCCACTGCAGGGAAGCTGTGTGGGTCCAGCGGTGGGGGACAGGCAGGGTGTCTCCTCCAGAGTGAAAGGCAGTGGCTGCGTCTGGCGTCCTCCCTGCAAAGCAGGAGGCTCACTGCCCAGGAGCCTCTGTGGGGTCTGACGTTCCACATCTGTGATGTGTCGGCCGCACTCTGGGTGACACAGGAGGACGCCAGCCTTGAGGGGCGCTGGACAGGAGAGGACACTGCAGCGGATGCAGGCCGTGGTGCAGCGGCCCCATCCCTCAGCCCCACGGCGGGGGCGGGGGCGGGAGCAGGACGGAGCCAGACCTGGCTCCCGGGGGCTGCAGTGCAGGGCCTGGGACTCTGGAGCAGGGCCAGGCCACCACAGCAGACACATGTGCCCTGTTAGAAGCAACCTTTGCTGTGCCACTGGCCCTGATAAGATAGAATGCTTGACCACGGGACACCAAGCCACCTTGTGACTCCAAGTGCCCATGTGACTTGGGTTCTGTGTAACCCACGAAGTCATACACTGGACAGTCCCAGCAGGGTCCATCACAAGGAGGAATGGTCCATGTGGGTTGGGCCTGAATCCCATGTGGACACCCACCAGCAAACACCCTCCCTGCAGTGGCCCCGAGCACCGAGCAGACAGACTGCAGTCAGGCAGCCTTCGCCTCGGTCAGCCCAGGGCTGGCAGGACGGCCGTGGATGGAGGGCACGACGGCAGGGGCACTGGGTGTGGCCCAGCAGCATTGGCTCCAGCTACTAAAGCCTGTCCAGCTGCTGCCACTTCTGATGTCTGACTTGTCACCATTAGAGACAAATGATGGGCTCTGATGGAGCCCTATTTCTTTAGGAGACCAACTAGCCACTAAGTGAGTTGACTACATTGAGCTCCTTCAATCCTGGAAGGGCCGGGGCTCATCCTTGCAGGACAGACGCCTATTCCACGGGTGGGCTTTCCTCTCCTGCCCTCGGACCCTCAGGCAGCTCCACCACCCGGGGCTGTTGGCATTTCTGATCCGCAGGCTCGGAATTGCTCTCGGCACAGCACCCCACTGGGGCACCCACTGCACAGGGCAGGCGGTGCAGCCTGGCCCGTGGCCGCGGGACCCCCTGCTCAGGCCACAGCCTGCGCCACCCGGGGCTGCCGGCCACTCAGCAGCCTGCTCGGGCCTTGTAAAGGCTCAGCTCAGTGCCCGCCTCGAGGACGCACTCTGAGGCGGGCGCCATCCTTCAGGACACAGTGCGCTCACGGAGCCAGAGCCTCTCTCGGGTGTGTGTTCTCGGCAGGAAGGACTCTTGGGCTCAGAAGCCAAGGGGTGGAAGCGGGAGCTGCTCCGTGTGCCGTCGCTGAGACGCACCCACTGGGATTTGCACTTCCCATCTCTGAGCTCTGGCTCTGCAGGGTGGCAGGCCCTGTTTCCCGCGAGGCCATCGGACTAGGGGGCAAATGAGAGCCACTGAGCTGCACTTTCCAGTTGCCACCAGGGCAGTTTGGACAGCGCGTGCCCAGAGACCAGCAGGTGAGAAGAGGAGCCCGTCCCCTCCAGGCAGGGAGGGACCCTGACCCCCAGGAGGAGGCAGGGCTGCTCCACACAGAGGGCAGGAGGAGACTGTGTGGAACCCAGGGACCCACCTGGGGCTTCGGCATCCCCTCGTCCCATTGTAAGTGTGTACCGAATCACCCGGCAACCCAGCCTGAGAGGGTTTCACCTCCACGGGCCCAGTCCCCTCCGGAAAGAAGGTGTGAGTCAAGCCAGGGAAGGTGCCAAGGGCCCCCCGCTCCTGTGCTCTGAAACCCCAGCAGCGTTGGTGCAGAGGCCCTGCTGCCCACGGGCTGTCCCCAGACAGTGACGGGTCACAGCAGGGACACTGAGGCAGGCCCATTCCTGGGACACAGGGGACTCCTCTGATGGCCAGCTGAGGCTGGAGGACTCCTCCGTGGCCTTGCACAACTCCCCTTAGGCTGCCTGTGGTCTAGGGTGTGTCCAACGAACCTTCTCTCCAGCCCGCCACGTGGGCGCAGACCGCACCTGGGTCTGCGGCTTCCCCAGGGTGGCCTGGTCCTCCCCAAGTTCTCTGCCAGGTGCGGCCCCTCGTGAATGCTGCTGAGTTTAGTCCCACCTTGTCATCTGCTTCTTGCAGGACTCGGACTAACAAAGTCATTTCCATCTGCACACACAGGACCTCTTACTTATTGCAGCTTGTAAAATCCTTCTCTTCATCCAACTTCTCCCACATCCCTTGGCTCCATTGTACTGGTCTTCATATCATCCTCTTGAGTTAATATATATATATATATATTTTTTTTTTTTTTTTTGAGACAGAGTCTCACTCTGTTGTCCAGGCTACAGTGCCGTGGCATCAGCTTAGCTCACAGCAACCTCAAACTCCTGGGCTCAAGCGATCCTCCTGCCTCAGCCTCCCGAGTAGCTGGGACCACAGGCATGCGCCACCATGCCCGGCTAATTTTTTCTATGTATATGTTTAGTTGGCCAATTAATTTCTTTCTTTTTTAGTAGAGACGGGGGTCTTACTCAGGCTGGTCTCAAACTCCTGAGCTCAAACGACCCACCTGCCTCAGCCTCCAGAGTGCTAGGATTACAGCACCGCACCCAGCCAGATGTTTGTTGTTTTAAGCCACTAAATTTTGGGCTAGTTTGTGACACAGCTATGGATAACCAGTGAACCTCTCCTAGGTTCTAACATTGCATAGGTGCTGTTCACATCTCTTTTAGTTCCTTGCATTCTGACAGTGTTGGCCATATCTGCTGTTTCTAATTTCTCGTCTCCTGTTCTTTTAATTTTTTTTTTTAATTTACAAAGAACAGAAATTTATTTCTCGCAGTTCTGGAGGCTGTGAAGTCCAAGATGAAAGTTCCAGCACTTGGCGTCTGTTGAGGGCCTGGTCTCTGCTTCCAAGAGGCGCCTTGTTGCTGTGTCCTCAGGGGGCGAGCACTGCCCTCGGATGGCAGAGGGCGGCGGGACACAGAGGTCATTTTGCCTTTCCTGTGTCTTCCTTCTTTCCTCCCTCTCTCCCCCACTCCTTTTTGTCCTTTTTATTATGGACGACTTCTAACATGCGAACAGCCCTATGTGGCTGTGCTGAAAGGAAGCGTTCTCTGGATCTGTATGATAAAGGAGCAATGCTAGGGGATAGGGCGAGGAAAGGAAAGGAGAGGAAGTTATTAACAGAGCCTGAGAAAAAATTTATTCAGCAGAGAGATTTCTCATTGCCACTGGTGAAAGGTCACGTTACTTGGGCATCCCTGGCGACAAAGAATACGGCGTCAGCAGTGATGATCTTTTCTCCTTACCTTACTGCCCAGGTAAGACCCTGGTGGTTGGAGCATCTATGTCACTTTGGAATGTGCTGGATTTCTTTCTGGTATTTGTTTAGATGTCACTGTTATGGTACGGTCCATTCTTCTTAGAGGATTTGACCAGGACATGGCCAACAAAATTGGTGAACACATGGAAGAACATGGTGTCAAGTTTATAAGACAATTTGTACCAATCAAAGCTGAACAAATTGAAGCTGGGACACCAGGCCGACTCAGGGCGGCAGCTCAGTCCACACTAGTGAGGAAACCATCGAAGGAGAGTATAATACGGTGTTGCTGGCAATAGGAAGAGATCCTTGCACAAGAAAAATTGGCTTAGAAACTGTGGGAATGAAGATAAATGAAAAGACTGGAAAAATACCTGTCGCAGATGAAGAGCAGACCAATGTGCCTTAGTCTGTGCCACCGGCGATGTGTTGGAGGACGAACTGGAGCTCACCCCAGCCGCAGTCCAGGCAGGAAGACTGCTGGCTCAGAGGCTTTATGCAGGTTCCACTGTCAAATGTGACTATGAAAATATTCCAACAACTGTATTTACTCCATTGGAATATGGTGTTTGTGGCCTTTCTGAAGAGAAAGCTGTGGAGAAATTTGGGGAAGAAAATATTGAGGTTTACCATAGTTACTTTTGCCCATTGGAATGGACAGTTCCATCAAGAGATAACAACAAATGTTATGCAAAAATAGTCTGCAATATGAAAGACAGTGAACGTGTTGTGGGATTTCACGTACTGGGTCCAAATGCTGGAGAAGTTACACAAGGCTTTGCAGCTGCACTCAAATGTGGACTGACCAAAACACAGCTGGACAACACAATTGGAACCCACCCCGTCTGTGCAGAGGCCTTCACGACTCTGTGACCAAGCGCTCTGGGGGAAGCATCCTCCAGGCTGGCTGCTGAGGTTAAGCCCCAGTGTGGATGCTGTTGCCAAGACTCCAAACCACTGGTGTGTTTCCTTGCCCAATCCAAGGCAAAGTTTTCAGGAATGTTCTTGGGCTCCTGGCACCTGTGTCTTGTGCCTACCTCCACCCAGTGCACCCCTTGGATCTCCTGGTTAGGAGTCAGTGAACGGAAGGCAGGCAGCATCACACTGGGGTCACTCTGACGGACTCAAAACTGACATCAGGCAGTGCATCGAAGGGATGCGTCCATGAAGTCACCAGCCTCAAGCCTGTGTGGTGGGCAGTGATGGAACAACTGTCGAACCAGTTTCAGCATGGCCTTTCCTTTGCTGGTTTTCTTATTCCCATTGTTAAGTTCTCTAACGTTGATTGTTTTTTTTTTTCTTTTTTCTCCATGATGTTAATGATATTACAGATGAAAAATGTTAGCAGTTGCTTTTTATCCAAAAACAGGTCATGGCTCGAGTACACAGACAAGGTGTCTTGCTGCATGGAAGGGAGGGCCTGGCTCCCTTGGAGGCTGCGTAGGCTTGTCCCATCAAAGAGAACTGTCTTATGACTAAGATGGAATGTTCTGCTTTACTGGCCTGTTTATCAGTTTCTCCCCTAATAAGTTATATGTCCCAAACAAGCACATCTATGATTGACTCTGGCCAAATTTGCCGCCATGTGCTACATCACTGATTATTTTAAGGTATGTTTAGGAAGGGAAATGGCTAGTCCACTGTATGGAGCATGTTAGTAATGTATGTTTCCCACCATTGCTCGTCATGGAGGCGGACGTACACTTGAAAATGGAGGAAAAACAGTAAATGTCTTACTTTATTTAGTTTATTATGTGTTGGCCTAAGTGACCTGAGATCATTAGCCATGAAAAACATGTAACTTGTTTAAAACTCTTTTGCCTAGCTTTATGCTAAAAACACAAAATATCACAGCTTTATTTTGTGTGTGTTAGGGATCGATCCCTTCCTAAGAATCACCTTCACAGGAAAATAGGCCTTTTCATGCTCGTGATTTAAATCTTTTGTGGTAATTGCTTTTTAAAGGAAGCTGCTAATATCATAAGTTATTATTATTGAACACAGGTGGATGTGAAGGATTTTCATTTAATGACCAAGTGGTTTTGACTTTTTCTGTTGAATGAATGACCATACTTGGTAAAGTGTTTGCAGAAGTATTTACACTCTGTTAGTACTCCAACTTGTATTATTATAAAGACAATTACTTTTTCAGCTATATATTTCTATATAAATGTACTGTGTAAGGATTATAAGTTGAGTTTTGAACATGTGCTGTGGGTATCAGGCCTCCTGCCAGCAGTTGTTGTAGCTCCTTTTCTATTCCCTTCCCTCCACCTGTATTTCTCAGCTACAACACTGAGTGGTTGTTTCAAAGTATATCTCAGGGAACCCATGTGTCTGGCATCTAGTCAGCAGAACACCTGACCCTGTCCCACAGGGCTCTGCCTCTTGTCCTTATCCCATCTGGTCATATGAAGGAAACGGGAAAGAGAAGAGGGGAATCGAGGCAGTTGACTTGTTTTATTTATTTATTTTTGTTTGTTTTTTTGAGGCAGAGTCTCACTTTGTTGCCCAGGCTAGAGTGAGTGCCATGGCGTCAGCCTAGCTCACAGCAACCTCAATCTCCTGGGCTCAAGCGATCTGTCTGGCTCAGCCTCCCAAGTAGCTGGGACTACAGACATGTGCCATCATGCCCGGCTAATTTTTTCTATATATATTAGTTGGCCAATTAATTTGTTTCTATTTATTGTAGAGACGGGGTCTTGCTCTTGCTCAGGCTGGTTTCGAACTCCTGACCTTGAGCAATCCGCCCGCCTCGGCCTCCCAGAGTGCTAGGATTACAGGCGTGAGCCACCGCGCCCGGCCTATTTTTTTTAATTTGTTTTTTCTCCAAGTCTGCCAATCTCTGAAATTACAACAACAGGCAGTATGAGATAATTGTGCCTGACCATGTTGTGATTCTCTCTTAGTGGAATGGGATGTTCTTGTCTGCACAAGAAGGATTATACTTTATAGACTGTCTTGTTTAGGTTCTGTAATTGCCCAGTGTATTGAAACACATACTAAATTCCATGTATTTTTGTTACAAATCTTCTGGAAAAAAATGTGAAACATTAAAAGGTATTAATATTTTTAAAAAAGGTGTAATTTGGCACAAGCACTTTGGAAATCAAATTAGCCTCATCCATTATGGTTAAAGTTCATGCACCATATGATCCCACCATCATTGTCCTGAACAAATATCGTCTGGAGCCGTTCTTGGCTGTGTGCCTCAGTTGGCCACCAGAGGCCCATGTCTCCCAGGAATGGACCTGCCTCAGTGTCCCTGCTGGGACCCGTCTTTGTCTGGAAGTTGCCCATGGGCAGCAGGGCTCGGCACCAACGCTGCTGGGACTTCAGAGCACAGGAGACATGTACACTAATGTTTCTGGCAAAAAAAAACTGAAATCAGCTGGGCGTGGTGGCTCACGCCTGTAATCCTAGCACTTTGGGAGGCCGAGGCGGGTGGATTGCTCAAGGTCAGGAGTTCGAAACCAGCCTGAGTGAGACCCCATCTCTACCAAAAATAGAAATAAATTAATTGACCAACTAAAATTATATATATACAAAAAATTAGCTGGGCATGGTGGCGCGTGCTTGTAGTCCCAGCTACTCGGGAGGCTGAGGCAGTAGGATCACTGAGCCCAGGAGTTTGAGGTTGCTGTGAGCCAGGCTGACACCACGGCACTCACTCTAGCCTGGGCAACAAAGTGAGACTCTGTCTCAAAAACAAACAAACAGGCCGGGCGCGGTGGCTCACGCCTGTAATCCTAGCACTCTGGGAGGCCGAGGCGGGCGGATTGCTCAAGGTCAGGAGTTCAAAACCAGCCTGAGCGAGACCCCGTCTCTACCATAAAAATAGAAAGAAATTAATTGGCCAACTAATATATATAATATAAAATCAGCCGGGCATGGTGGCTCGTGCCTGTAGTCCCAGCTACTCGGGAGGCTGAGGCAGGAGGATTGCTTGAGCCCAGGAGTCTGAGGTTGCTGTGAGCGAGGCTGACGCCACGGCACTCACTCTAGCCTGGGCAAGAAAGCGAGACTCTGTCTCAAAACAAACAAACAAACAAAAACACTGAAATCAATCACATATACATCAATAGGGAGGTGGCAAAACTGTGGAATAATCATCAAATGTAAAACTTCAGCAGAAAAATGAATGGACGACATCCTCCCACACCCAGGATAACTGCCCTACCTGTGGTATGCACCACAGAAGAACACATGAAGCACGACTGCAGTGTGGAGGAAGCTTAAAAACAGGCAAGACTAACTAATATTTGGTTTGGGGATCTAGACACTCAGTGCAAAATCTTTAGAGAGAGGAGGACTCAGAGGCTCCTTCTGGGGTGGGGACTGGGCAGCAGCCCATGGTGGCTGCACGGGTCCTATTTCTTTGCCGGTGGCGGGTGCCCAGGAAATCACTTCATCATGACTTCTCACACTGGCAACTTTCAAACTGCGGCTTGGGAACCATTCCTGATTAATTTCTTTTAAATGAAAGAAAACAAAGCTCCAAAGTTCACTGCAAGGACCCTTTGCAAGAACTAGTCAGGTCAGAACAAAGCAAAGCCACGTGTAATGCACCGTGTGACAGAGAGGACCAGGATGCCATGAAACCCCCCGGCTGGAAATAGGTCAGTCGATCTTTCGCTCACTGGCACCTCTGTGGACTGTCTGGGATCTGACGTTCAATCTGCCGCGCAAGGCAGTTCCATCCTGCAAAGGAGTCCATGTGCTTCTCAGGTCTTGCCACACACACTCTGCACTGAACTTCTCACAGGATTAGAAAAGCACATTGTTGATCAAAATAATTTAAGCTGGAAAACATGATAAATGAATAATGAGGGATGCAATAGCAAATATGAGTGGAAAACACAATAGAGCTGCCTTAGAAACACTTTAGTAACCATGATAGTAAAAGCACATAGTCACAGAGCCTCTTAGAATCACAGTGGTGTCCAGTTCATTCCCATCACATCTTATTAAAATACACAGTGAAACATGTTGAATTTTCTCTAGGATGCCAATGGAATAGCTAGTTTTTGAAAAATCTCCTGCCTAGATAGGAGTTAACCATTTCTGCCTGTCATATCAAACCAAAATAGTTGTCACAGTCCTAAGCTAGGTGTGCAGACTGAGGTATGATATTCTCATTTTTCTAACTGAAAAGCAGCCCAATTAAGCAAACTTTTTTTTTCAAAGTCTAATTTTTAATTTCGACTAAACAAACAAGCTGAAAAGTGAGAAACTTAACTGTATTAGCAGACACAGAGGTATCAAATGTATCAAATGTATCAAATCAAAAGCAATGGGTTATTAACAGACTATTTACATGCATATTTACAAGCAATACTTTTGTACATAAGTTTTATTTTTTAGTTAGTTGGAAAAAGATTTGACATTAGGTAAAAATATTAAATAGGGCTGAGGTGGTACCACATAATAAAAGTATTAGAAAAGTGATCTTCAAGGTGTATCAATTATAAAGCAGATGAAAACTTGAATGACAAATATCTAGTAAAAAAGTCAATGCAACCCATGCTACAAAATAAAAATGAGAAAGCCATATAAATAAAGAAGATAGTGTTCTACACCTTAGGGTAATGAAATTAGTCAGGTAAAAAAAAAAAGTAATTCTAGAATTGTAATAAATTCTCAGTGAAGAGTCTTGGTGTTTAGCTGAGAGTTCTCTAAGTCTTTCTTTAAATGACATTTTAAAAGCCTTTAATACTGTTTCTGGATACTCTCAAAAAAGAAAAAAAAAATAAAAGCCTTTGGTATCAAATAGCCTCTGCATATGTAAATCAGTTGTTAATGATATATTCCAAGACTTTAGTGCTAGACTTTCATGATTCTGATTCTTATTTGAAATTTAATTTATTGAGACATTACATGTC